TATATATATATATATATATATATATATATATTAAGAGAAAAAATAAATTACTTAAAATTTAGTTATAACTACTACTTACTATAAAAGATTTACTATGACTCCCATCACCAACAAACCTTTACAGAACCACTTGCTTTCTAACTACCATACACAATATTTATTTTGAGAGTACACATACACATTTATAAGCCCATACCAAATTAGATAAAGTTAAAGTTTTGTCATCAGCGAGAGGCAAAAACTAAAAGTTAGATTGTTTAAGACAATATATAAAAATAAAACAGTATTAAACGACAATATAGGTGCTTCAAGCCGGTCAGGCAGGATTCTTGATATAAGCAAGTCATTAGACATGCTGATCTAATTCCTTTTCACAAATTTAAACATACTTCAGTACATGCAAATCATGCCTTATTCATTTACTTTTTTGTCCAATTTCATATCTTTCAATCGTAAAGAACTAAGCTGATGTTTTGCTTGAGTTTGAATATAACCATGTCATGAAGTAGACAAAAGGCCCACCAAATAAACACAATTCCTGCTAGTTGAATGTCTCTTATCTGTAGTAAAGTGTCCAAATATTAACTAAATACAGCATACCGAAAAAATTAACTACAATCTTGAACATAGTTTCAAAATATTTTCACACAATTCTGTCACTATAGCAAAATATTTTTCTGTTAACATTTTTCTTTTGCCCGAATGTCAGTTGATAAGGTGGTTCCATGGCTCTATGATGAGTTAGCCAACATTCTTGAAATAAAAGTGAATAATTTCTACAAGTAAATCACTGACATGCCTCCAGACACAATCTCTGTTGTTGTCAAAAAAGCGGTCACATGACTGAATGCTCTGTATTATACTCTGGTGTTGCACAATCATTTAGTGATGAAGTGTTAATGGCATATTGTGAATTATGCATGTCTCCTGCGGAAATAAACTTTACATCTTCCTGAAAACCAGCGGATGTCCATTCGCACACATCTCAGACAGAGAGTCAGTGTGTAAATTCATTCTGTTACTGTTAATAACAGATTACTACCAAGATCTCTCAATACATCTCAGTTTACAAAGTTGAGTGACTGGGAAAGGAGTGAATCAGACCGTTCTCCGAAACCCAGTTACTATGATAGCAAATGCAACAAGGAGGTAGAAGTAGTCTTCAATAAATAAAATATCAATGTGCGAATAACAAAAGAGACAAAATAATTAGGAGGGACATGAGACCTGGGTCTCGCTAAGACAACTTCAAATTTGAAGAAATACACTGTCAACATGGGAGAGGTTTACCATCATGAATAGTTAACAGGAAATTATTCGTTCACAAAATAGTTGTACCTCATCTAATGTGTTTTCATAAATAATTACATGTGCTTTACAGTTGACCACTCTCCTTATTCTCTATGGTACACTGAAATAATTTAAACATAATATAGACTTATTTGCCAGAATGAACTAATCATAAGAATGAATTGCTGTCACTATTAATGAGGCTTGTAAGTTCAATCGCAGAATTATTTGTTTTGTAAACAAAATAGCTTGTTTCTTTAAAATTTTAAAATTTGTTTACAGGATGAAGATTATGATGTACCATCTTTTAATCAGAACAAGAGAGCAGGTTACACTGCTCCTGCTGCTTTGCTTAATGATGTGGCTCAGGTAATTTTAAAACATTAAAATTGAATCTCTGAACTGGCATTTTGTATACTGATATGTCAGATGAAGTATTTTTTGATATGCTTTTCTGATGAGACTTTTACTATTAATTTCTGTAATTTTATTTCTAGAGTGAAAAAGATTATGACCCTTTTGCTGACCGCAGAAGACCCACCATAGCTGAAAAAGAGGATGAATATCGCCAGAAAAGACGCCAGATGATCATTTCTCCAGAACGAGTGGATCCTTTTGCTGAAGGTTTGTCACATCATTGTTTGCATTAATTTCAGTGTGAATTCAATTAACTGGATGTTAGTATTATATTGATGTTGGAAAAACAGAAAAAAATCACTGTGGATTGTAATACAGCTTGATTAGAGAAATTTCTAGTAAATACAATGAAATTAGATGTACCAATTCTTAAATAAATTGGGAGAATATGTAGTTCTGAGAAGTAGTAATTTCTGTAGGAATCGTCTCAAAAGAACTTCATTGTTGATATGTGGACATGGGGCAGGAATACTTGTAATATTTCTTTAGAGAAGGAACATCAGAATTTTAAAAATAATGGAAATTAAGGCTTAAACACGTCTGGGGTCTTTGTCCCAGGGGGCGGCCCGCAGTTTAATTTCCCGTTTCAATCCTATGGCCCACATAGTTACTCACTCTTCTGTGTCAGTTCTCTCTCCCTCGATGTGGGCCAGTGCTGTATGGTGGTGCCATCTCATTGTGGTATCCATAAGCTTTAGTGGTTTATTTTTTTCCACTGGTTTGCTGTATGTAACTTGAAACATCATTTTTTTTCTTAGCTTAGCAGATGTTGCTAGATGTAAATAGCAATGGCATCAACATCAAATCGTATGAGTCTTATATTATGAGTGAAATAGATTAATTAGATTTTAATGCTACTAGAAGTGATCTATCTGAATTAGATAATGAAGGTAATATTTGTGTTCAAAATTATTTATTTTTGCCCTTTATTATATCCTACTGCTGCTCCTGTTCCAAACTGCCCTGTAAGTGGAGTGTGCTGGGCTCTGCCGTAGTGTTTAAGATGACAGCACGGAAAGGGTTAAGCAGTTTCAAATAATGTTAATAATAGCGTATTTACACAAGTAATTTCTTCCTCAATATTTCATTTGAAGAATACATTATCATATATTTGCAGATTAAGCCTATCAGTTAGGATTTATGATGTTACATTGTCTTTCCATGTCGTGAAACTCAAAATTGATATAACAAGAAGATGCGAAAACTTCAAAAATATCACACGTATCTATGTAGCCAATTATATTCAGACATGTTCTTGGCATCCACTGTGAAATCAGTGAGCTAGTGGTGCTTCAACAGCACGAATATTCTCACATTATTCCTACAGTTTACAAAAATTCAGTGAGTTCAATGAAAATGTGACCAGCACCAAAACTTGTTCTGTCCATGGAAAATAATTGAAGGGAAAACATTGAGATTTTTTTTAAGGAAGTGGTCTTTATAATTTGCAATAAACGTCAAGCAGGAAATATGTGAAAACTTCTTGTTTTTTCAAAAAAATTCGCATTGGTTTGTTAAAGATACGATTTTTTAGAACAGATTTAATTTAAGACACAAATTTCTCTAAAAAATGTTGTACTTTTGCTATGTCATTTTTTTGCATTTTTAGAAAATGTTTGTCACAAATCGGAGCAGCACCAGGTTTTATATTGTCCTTTGATATAAACGAGAAGAAAGGTTCATGAAAAATTTGTTTTTATTTCAACAACTATTTTTAAAGAACAGACTATATTAAGGGGGAAAATTCTTCCTTCGATATTGTAGGTGTAGAAAGATACAGAAAAACATTTTTAAATTTTACAATTTTCAAAAATTCATGGATTTCAAGAAAAATGAAGCTTGTGCCATTCTTTTAAGCATCCTTTTGCGTTTTCCGAGCACCAAGTTTAATGTAAACATGTGGAGTCATTTTTTGAGGATATTTTAGGGCTTCATGTAAAGGACTCGCAAATATCAAAACCTTCATTTTATACTCGCAATGCCTTGTGCTCGTCCAGATCAATCGGAAATATCAATTTTAAAGAAAATAGTCTGTATGATTTAGGATCTAACCTTGACCGCTGACAGGTGAACTGAGTGACGGATAGACTGATGGACAGTTACAAGGACCCACAAAGCATGAATTCTGACTTCACACAGCGTGTTATAGGAAATAATTTACTCTACATTGGAACAAGACGGGGATGCCAATGATCTTGTTTGGCCCTGTGATAGCACCTGATATTAGGTCATCAGAAACCCCCCCATGTGGCTGTCAGAATTAAAGTGCACTTGCTGTTTTCAAATGACATTACTGATCCTCCAAGTATACAACAGCTCTTTGAATCTTGAAAACAAAGAGATGACAATTTGCCTGTGAAAATCACTGATGACAAAAACAGTCTCGCTGTGCTAATTTAAAGGAACTTGGAGAGAAATAGGACTAATGATGTTGATGTGACAGTCTGTCAGATATGTCAATGGCCAACCAAAGATGGTTAACTTACCTAATACTGTAAATGGGATTAGAGAGTATCTAGGTACAAAGATGCCTGGAAATAATGCCAATTCAAAAAAAACTAATTTATTATGGTCATGGTAATGCTACAGTTTACCATTAGAATGTCAGAGGGCTATGCATAAATATAAAAAAAAAATTTGCAAAATTTTCTTATGTTTTGGATGAATATGACATCTGAAACTTGTACAGTGTTCACATTATTGCTTCCTTTGCAGAGTGTGATATAGAAAGTTATAGTATTTTTAAATCAGTCTTTCCAACCATTGGTTACCAAGAAGTCCTTCAGTGCTGGACCCAAAGCATCTTTTCTCTAAAGGTTGCGGACAACAGGTGCCATTAACACAACTAGACACAATCAAGGAGCATCTCTTCTAACTCATTGTGTGGTAATAATCTTATTTTCTTCCCTTTGGTTTTCATATTTCTTCCACAGTATTCACAAGCATTGAAACAGGAATATCAAATCTGCCAGCAAGAGCAAGTAACAAAATATTTTTTCTGTTCTGAACTTGACATACGATGTTAAGTTGTATTTTTAATTCCAACTGAAACTTAGTTTTGGAGCAATCATAACTGGATTTCAAAGAAATCTCTAAAGTTAGAATTGACCATCCATGCAATTGAACCCCAGTTCACACTTCAATTGTAAAAAATCTCAAAAGAGTGTAATAAGATAATACACGTGATAATAGCCTGGTCTGCAGATCTCAGACTTCACCAATTTGCTCAAACAAGTGGAGAACATAAGCACAAGTTCATGAAGGCTGTTACCTTTGTTTACAATATTTTAATTATACCCATTTTCACATAAATATACAAAAAAGGTCAAACTAATTTATCCAATGTGTCAGTTTTTCCTGTGTCAAGCTGCATATGCATAAAACAGATGCATACAAACTGGTCTTCTCCAGTTAGTCAACTCTGGTTATAGTGAACTAGTGAATAGACACTGGCCCCGTTATATTACTTCAACTACAATAAACTTAGGAAACACAACATCCTGGAAAAGTACTTATTGCCTCAGTGCCACATATTCAAGGGGCTTGGAACAAATGTCGTCATAATTGAAAACGTCTCCCCTGAGGTAAAGGTAGAGGACCAGTAATAGTGAGCTTCTTGATAACCTGAAGCCGTTCAGATCAACTATTAAAACAAAAGCCATCTTCTGCATTGGCTACAACAGACAACTGCGACATGCAATCTTCAAGTTTCAATCTTGGTGTTATATTTTGCGTGACAAAGCATGTTGTGTTGAATGTGGGTGACAGGATGTACACGACTGCTACAGCCCCATGATACACGCCATTGTGTGTGGAAAAGAGATTATTTTCATTAGCCATGTGCGCCATCCGACTACCGAAAGTATCTACAGTAAAACCCTTTTATAAAAGACACATGGGGGAATGGAATTTTGTCTTTTATGAGCGGGAACTCCTATATGTGGGAAATGGGTTTTTGAGTGTTTAATGAAATGTTACCTTTTCAGTGGATTAGTATGATTTGCACGCTATTTTAAACTTGAGAAAACTGTTTGATACCAGAGCCTATTTATCCAGATATTTTGAGTGAACTATGACAATTTAAAGCACCTGTGCTCATAAATACATTATATGAACATCTCGCCTCTAATGGCATCTTGAGAGAGATATCTAAAAATTACATTTGTGTAATTTTTGAAAAAACAAAGTAGAGCAAAATTGTGTTTGTCATAAAATACATTTAGCACTATACCTACCCAAAGTGGAGCAATTTTTGATAAAATTTTGAAAATATTCCCTAAATATTATTTAAAATAGCAGAGCTTTGTGTGAAGCCAGATCAATCAGGAGCTAGTAGAGTTCAGGGACTGATGTTAAAAACACTTTGTCGGTAGCACCAAAACTTGTATTTCTGTTTAAATCTCAAAACCAATTTTCGGCAGTATTATGTTTCTCCATATATACACATGTATACCAGAGAGTAACAATTCGAAACATTGGACAAAACACTAAAAGCAATAGGCACTGAAGTGAATTTCTGAGTCGCCTGGAAGAAAATTCAACGTTTGTGTCTTACAAGTGAGATGAAATGCATGGCGGGGAATCCAATCTTGTTCACAATAGGCAGGATTCTTTGACTAGGTGTCATAAATGCAGGAAATAAATGCATTGTTTATATACAACTGACCTTCGGACTGTGAATTTTGTCTCTTATAAGTAAGATTCTCTTATAATGGGGTCTCTTACAACAGTGTTTTGCTGTAGTAAGTTATTAGACGAGTAAAAAGACCTTCAGAAAGTGACGACATTCCAACAGTGGGAAAGGCGTTGAAGGGTGTCTAGACTGCATTAAAATACTTAGAGACAATGGACAATACAGAATCAAGTATAGAGAGAGCATGAACTCTCGAGGGATCTAGAGAAATAACTAATGAAAGCAGTGCGAAGCAAACAATAGAAGAATAATGATTTTTTAAGGACAAATAAAGATATTGTGCATTTTTAGTTTGTGGTGTTAATGTATTTTGCAGATCTGTATATCAATAACTAGGTGGCAGATTTTGATAACCTAAATCGTTGCCCAAAATGATTCATAAAATGCTTTTAAAATGCTCTAAAGGCAAAGGAAAGGATTTAAATAATTTGATCAATACCACTTCAGATGAACAACTCTAGCTGTTGGATATGTTACTGATGCCATCGAGGCTTCTCTTTGTTTAAGTAAACTC